GCCAACTATTTGGTAGTCTCCTAGAGCTCTTTCTGCTCAGTGTGTCACAGGCTCTCCCTTTCTGCCTCTTCACCAGATTTGTCCCTTCCTCTTGGTTCTTCTATCCCCCTAAAGTCCTGTCACCCTAGCATGTGACTGTCCTATTTTGCTCCCATCTGCTCTTTCTCTGACCTTGCTTCCCCTGCATATCCCACCCTGCCTGTCCCTGGGTGCTGTCCTGCAGCTCCTCTTTCAAGCCATTATTTTTCTGTTCCTTCTCCCCTTCAGTGTTTCGGGCTGAATCCAAGCACAGGCAGCACGGAAGGTGGGAGGTTGTGGGGGGCAGCCATATGCTCATATTTGGGACTTTCTGAGTTCCTTTGGCCATGGGCAGAAGCATGCTCTGCACCAGGCAAATCTTCAGTAAAGACAACATCTGGATTTCAGACGAGCTCTGCCGAGCATGTGCAAGCACAGTGATTTACAGCTAGGTCAGATCTGGCTAGATTTTCATCTGGCCAGCAAGTACAGGCTGATGCTCCCAAGGATCAGCCCCCACTAATTTCGAGCCCCTGCAGAAAGCACTGAACTGCAGGGAAACCACTGTGAGACATTTTCAGCATGGGCCAACCACGATATTTTTCACTAACCTCATTCTTGGAAGTTGCTGACCAGCTTTCAGTGAAATATTCCCAAAACAATTCAGCTCAACACAGAGACTGGGGATGGAAAAATTCAGCCTAGATGCATCAAAATATGACAAAATTAAAAGCAACTGAAAACTGGATCTTATAATCAAAAGTGTTAGGCAATGTTAAATATAAGGGGTTTTTTGCCATCTCCACCTAAAACACAGGGATGACTACTGAAGTATTTAATTTTGGGGAAAATTTATCACATGACTGACATGCAAGGAAAAAGAGTTTTCCTTCCAAACATGGGGTACATGCCCAGGAAAGACATCTGATAAGGAAAACCAGTGATGACTGTACCCAGGCTGTTATGTGATCTGAGTTATTTACATTGCTCAGAGTTCACCAGATTCTTCGTCAAAGTGTTGGAAAGTCCCAGACTGAGCCCACCACTAGTAGATGCATCAGTGAGATAGATGTCAGCTTGACCCACGGCCATTTACCATCTGTGAAAAGCAAACAAATAGAACCAACTGGAGTAATGAGCATCGTGATTGGAATAGGGAGTGGAGCACAGATTTACACAGGATCTTTGTGTCCGGACTCACGAGCCTTTGACTATGTTAGTATGGAAAAGTAAGCAACTGCAAAACGCCAGCTGTGCAGATCTGTGCAAAAAATGAAGCTCTGGCTGTTGACTGCCTGACGTGCTACCTGCAAGGCTGGACCAGATGTGTGAGTATTTCCTTCACTTGTCAGAAGAAGGCAGCAAGACTTCTGGCAGAGTTTTTAGAGAGACTTTTCAGGTATTTTACAGTGCTCCAATTGAAGAGCTCCAAAACTTTGAAGGTTTCTTCTTTTTTTCAAGTATGTAGAAGGAGTGACAATAAAGCCTCTTGATTATATTGCATATAAAATAATAAAGGTATTATCTCTGCCAAATTTTGATTTCCTTAAAACTTTAGAGCTTCACAGCTAAATCAGAAGTCTAACTAATATCAGAGAAAATGCTACTTCTGGAATAAGAAGTCATTGCTACTTTGAATTGAGTCCAGTGCCGAAGGAAGAGAATACATCTAGATGCAAAGTACAGTATCTTAAAAGCCACAGAACAAAAGCAGGGATTTTTCTCCTGTCCTGATCCAAAATACAGTAGACACAGACCATTTTTACTTCATGTAAAATTATGATAACCATTAAACCATAAACTTTGTGGTCTGGTAAGTTAGATGCAATGTGCATCCCTCAAGTAAGGGATCAGCATAATGAGAATTATGACAGAGGACTCTGCAGATACCTCGAAGGCTGAAACGAAGATCAGGCCAGGCCAGATGTAGCTACATTTATTGATATGCTATGCACCAGAAAATGCTAAGAATAAGGCATAGGGAATGATGATTTCCAAACATATTAGCAGACACTCTTGTGATGTGATCGTATCAGCTTTAAGGCCATAGAGCCTGGCAGGCCACCAAGGACCGATTTTTTTTAATTTTTTTTAATTTTTTTTGGTAGTTGTTATTACCAACATAAATGAATATATCTGACCCAAAGCTGACATCTAGTGGAGGGAGAACAAGTGCAGGATTTTTGTTCCCTTCCCAGGGACACACTCAGTTGTGTGCAAACAGAACTTCTTGGACACCAAGTCCTGAGGTTGTTCAGCTTCCAGCTCTTCCCTGGTCCTTTGGCTCACTTACTGCCCCAGCTGGGCTGCTTGGGCTGGAAGGGCATCAATACTGGTAAAACTTCGGGAATGTTTTCACAAGTTTCTGGCTCACTCACTGTACCTGGCATCATATGTTTATGAGGACAATTTATGAACTTTTAGTTAGAAAAAAAAATATCGAAATTTCAAGCTTTCTTACTTGCATGGAAAAACAGAAAACATGAACCCTACAGGCGTAAAAAAACAAAAGACATATAAAACATATATATATATATACACATATATCCAGTGTTTACTTTTTATATCTCACAAGTTTAAGTCACTATCATAAAACTGTTGGCAGTTCAGTCTCAGTTTGTAGTGCTTAGCAGGGTAGACAGAGGGAAACAGAAAAAAAAGGAGAGGATCTGTGGTCCTCCTGGTAGATGGCTGGGTGGGGAGCCAAAGGATGGAATCTGGAAGCCTGTCAGAGAGGAACCATATAATGAGAGCTCTTACAGCCCTTTAAAAATGGCAGAAGACAAAAGGTGCTTTATTTGCTCATATATGGTAGGAAGCAAAAAAAACATCTCCCAGGTGTGGTGGTAAAGATCCAAGGCCTGTAGCTGTGGGCTATAGCAAATCACACTGTCTGTGGATCACCAATGTGGTGGCATTTGTAGCACATTCAGCAGCAAGTTACCAAGAGCTCAGAGCTTCAGTCAAAACCCCTGAAGTACTGTAGCTTCGCTAGCACAGCCTTCAGCCACTGGCGAAGAGCACAGCTCCAGTGCTGTGTCCCAAGCAAGGGCATTGCTGCCAAGGTGATGCTTGTTTTTGGAAGGAACTCTTCATCGCCTGATAGCAAGACAAAGCTAGTGTTATACAAACAAGACAAAGTTTACTGCAGGATTGAGCTTTAATCTCTGGTGGTTGGTTATTGACTGCAGAAAAAACAGCAGCTGCTCAGTGGAAAGACCTCCTCTAGATCCTGTGTGGAGGCAAACTGGAAGGAGAGGATCTCACCTCCTGCAGCTCTCCAAGAAACCCAGAGTAAGTCTGAACTGAGGTCTGAATTGGGAGACAATGAGGACTGGGCCTGGGTTGTTTAAAATTCCCATCTGTTTTGCCACGAGGGAACTGGGTTTATTTTTTTGTGCTCACTGGATTTGACCTTTGTAACAGTTGCAAAAGCAGAAGTCGTGATACGTGGTTTATGGTAAATCTCAATCTATGATATTTGAAGATTTGTGCTATCAGCACTACTTGATGTCTTGCAGACCAGACTGGGATTTTTACCACCTTTTACCACTTTTATCACCTGTTACCCAATGCTTGTCATAGAACACAAAACTCTACTGAAGACATAAATCATGCATCCTCTTCATCTTCCAATCAGTGCCTCACCTTGGGCTCTTTCCTAACAAAAAATTATCAGTCCTAATTTTCAAGTGCATACAGAGGCATCTCAGTCAGTGAGAAATATCCATGCCTGCAGCTTGACAGCTTGGATCTGTGTACATAATCTACCTGTGTCAGAAGAGTACAACATCAGGCAGGTGGGACTGGTTTTGGTGAAGCTTGTAACCTCTGATACTCTGAAGTGGGAGGCTAATCTTGAAAACTAGGATATTTACTTCTTCCTGTACATTTTTAGAGAAAATTAGACATAACTACAGCAGTTTTAAAACTTCATGTTTTCATATACCTTGAAAAATGCCTATTTTAATCAGAGACATGGAAGTAATTGGCAGCAAACCGTGTAGCAAATTGATTTTGTTTGTGTTTTGTACATGTTCCCTTGCACACAGACATGGTTTGCTGAAACATCAATTTGCAGAGTTTTTAGTCCTGGCTGGCTGAAAAGCACGTAAGTGCAGGCATTTGCTAGGCAGCATTTATGTTGGTTTGATGAGACATCTGGGTTACACAATGTCACTTCTGTTCCCTGAAAGACTGAGGGCAGCTCTTAGAATCATGTTTCATGTTGTGGAATTTGCTTTTTTTGCTGAGTGTTTCGTCACTGTTTGTCCAAATCTTGTATGCTCCTTTTTTAGCATGTGCCAGTGCTGCAGCATGTAAAGCAAATGCCCAGAAGATGCTTGTTACAAAAGAGAAATTAAGATCTGTAGAAAATGCTTCGTTTTTTCCACAGCCCTGGCCTTGACAGGGACTTGCACTCAGAGTCTGGGCATAGTTTTACAATGTGTTCATGCTGGAGTAGGTTAGATGTAGATGCTGTTTTTACTTGCTTCCACATTTTATGAGCTTGAATTTATTCACCGTGCTCCATAACTAATTGTTCAGTCAGGGAGCCGTCCTGGGGGGAAATCCAGCAAATTATGTTCTGGGACAACCTTTGAGGAGAATGAGTGGAACAAATAAGCCAGCTAGTTTTAAGATGGAATTAATGACAGAATTACACAATTGCTGTGTCTTAAAATAGCAGAGGACCTGAAATGTCCTCTTCAGGCTTCTGTTGAAGAATGAAGAGAGGCACAGAAGTGCAAGCTTCTTCCTGCACTTATGGCTGCATCTGCAAGTTTTCCTCATGCTAGGGGAGAGGATGAATGGCAAGGCAGACTAAGACAACCTCTCAGCAACTCTCCTACAAGACAAAGGGGTCCAAGGTTAGCATTAAGTGACATCTGACCCCCTTGGAAGAGAGAATGACAGTTCAGGGATCTAATTTCCATTCTATGTTATTCTTGTCTGCAGGGTTCCCAGAGCCTCTCTCAGCCATGGCTATGGTGTGTCTTTCAGACTTCGAAGCATATGCTAGGAAGTATTTACCCAAGATTGCTTGGGATTTTTTTGCAGCTGGAGCAGATGACTGCAGCACTCGAGATGAAAACATCCTGGCATATAAAAGGTAACATGAAGAGGAAATAAAGAGTGTTGTGCTGGGAGCTTTTAAACTATGATTTTGTGCATGTGTTTGGACTTCACAAGCAAAGATTCCTCACACTTTGCCCTTTCAAGGTGGTCCTCAAGCAAAATCTACTTCACAGAATCGCAGAATTGTCACAGTTGGAAAAAGCTCACCAAGTCCACCAGGGTGTTGCCCCACCAGGGTGGGGGAAAAACACAACCCATCCGAACAAACAACAACAAAAACCTAAACAAAAAGCCCACAACCACACGTACCACAAAACCAACACAATCCAGAAAAAAACCCACCATGCCCACTAGAGCCTGCCCTGAAGTGCCACATGTACGTGTTTCTTGAATACCTCCAGGGATGGTGACTCCACCACCTCCATAGGCAGCCTGCTCCAGTACCTGACTACTCTTTCAGTAAATAAATTCTTCCTAATATCCAACCTGAACCTCCCCTGGTGTAGCTTCAGGCTGTTTCCTGTGGTCCTATTGTTATTCACTTGAGAGAAGAGGCCAACATCCATCTCACTACAACCTCCTTTCAGGTAGTTGTAGAGAGGGATGAGGTCTCCTTTCAGCCTCCTTTTCTCTAAACAATTCCCTGAATGATATATGCTGTGTGGTCTGACTCTGGACTGAATATAACACAGATTCTATGAGGTATAAGGAATGTTGAGAGTACCTATTGCAATAGTTAGATAAAGACCTGGTTTCCATGAAACTTCAGGAAAGCCACCAAACACCTACCATCCTGAAGGGGTTGTTTTGCCTTACAGAATTCGTTTCCAGCCACGTATGCTGCGGGATGTATCCCTGATGGACATTAGGACTAAGCTTCTGGGGACTGAAATCAGCTTTCCTGTAGGAATCGCCCCTACTGGCTTCCACCAGCTAGCATGGCCTGATGGAGAGAAAAGCACAGCCAGAGGTACTCTTCTACTTTGCTTCCATGTAGCAAAAAGGGTTGTTTTTTGTCTCAAAAAAAGCCTCAAGAAGCTGTTAGGATGACTCAAGTGTGACTGAGCAAAATCCTCAGGCTTGAGGGCCAAAATCCTTTCCCACTTGCTGACACCTCTTTTTGTGGATGACACACTTGCGTCTGGTGACACAGAGTGTGTGGGAAGCCATGGAGAGATTGTTCTGCTTCTCCAGCTACCACTAGTACGAGATCAGCCCTGTGGAGGCTTCTGCAAACTTAAGACAGAGAATTTGGACACATTTCTGAGGTACACCAAGTACATCAGGCTCTAGATAAAATATAAAAGTGGTGGATGGGACTCAGCCTGTAAATTCCTTGTTACTATTAAGAATCCTGTCTCCCTTGGAGAAACACATAACCACTCTTTCTAAATCCAGGGTGGGTTTGGAGAGATGACCTCTGGAAATATCTTTGTCCTTTGTGCATTTCTGTGTACACCGAGTGCATCTGACAGTGCACTCCTGTGAGGAGGCAGTCATAAAGCTCCTGCTTTTTTAAAAAAAATGCAAATTGAAAAAGCATGACTTGGTAAATTACTTCTTCCTTTCCTGCTTGCTTAACCATGATCCTACAACAGGGTATGGTAAACAAAATTGAGGAGGCTGAGGGGAGACCTCATTGTTCTCTACAACTGCCTGAAAGGAGGTTGTAGTGAGGTGGGTGTTGGGGTCTTCTCCCAAGTGAATAACAATAGGACCACAGGAAACAGCCTGAAGCTGCACCAGGGGAGGTTCAGATTGGACATTAGGAAGAATTTCTCTACTGAAAGAGTAGTCAGGTACTGGAGCAGGCTGCCCATGGAGGTGGTGGAGTCACCATCCCTGGAGGTATTCAAGAAACATGTACATGTGGCACTTCAGGGCAGGCTCTAGTGGGCATGGTGGGTTTTCTTGTGGGTTGTATGTTGTTGGTTTTGTGGTATGTGGTTGTGGTTTTGTGTGGTTTGGTTTTTGTTGGTTTGGTTTAGTTTGTTTTTTTCCTGGGTGGCTGGTTGGACTCGGTGATCTTAGAGGTCTTTTCCAACCATGACAATTCTGTGATTCTGTGAAATAAGAGACATTTTTAACCCCAGGGGCGTATTTGCCCATTGGTAGAGCCTTGTGCTTGTCAGGATATAAGTAAACCGGGAGTTCAGGTGTTCTCTGCACACTGTATGTAAAAGACCTTTGTGCCTGGTGCCTGGCAGAACTGTTCAAATGACCTTGCTTCCCACTCTTCTCCAACCCCCCCAAGCGGCCCGCGCGCTGAACACCTGCTACATCGCCAGCACCTATTCCACATGCACGCTGGAGGAGATCTCGGCGGCCGCTCCCGGCGGCTTCCGCTGGTTTCAGCTCTACATCCACCGCAACAGGGAGGTTTCCCAGCAGCTGGTCCAACGGGCCGAGGCCTCGGGATTCCAGGGCTTGGTCCTCACGGCAGATGTGCCCTACACCGGCAAAAGACGAGATGATCTCCGCAATGGTTTCCTCCTGCCTCCCCACATGAAACCCAAGAACTTGGAAGGGGCCTTTGAGGTCTGTTCTGAGCCAGCCCTTTCGTTCACTGGGCTGGTGTGCACCACATGAGACAAAGCCACGGGGTAACTGCTGCTTTGGCAGCTGCTGTACCCAGGGCGTATCTTCTCCCCTTCTGGTTCTGCAGCATTCTGGCTTGATCTTCTGCCAGCCTGGGTTCTGGCTTCAAAACCCCAGCCCAGCTTCCTTAGAGACACTGATCTCCATGCCCATTGTAACTGTTCTCTTCTGGAGACATGTGCTTTCCGGAGCTGATATATATGTCTGTTATCAAGTTTAATGAATCTGTTCTAGAGCAGGGAAAGGCTTCAAGGGGCCTCTGTATTATGACAGCTCAGATGAGGTTTTCTTCTGTCCTATGGATGCAGGGAGATGACCGTTCTGAGTACGGGCTGCCACCCAACAGCCTGGATCCCTCGGTCACCTGGCGCGATATCTACTGGCTGCGGAGCCTGACCCGGCTGCCCATCATCGTTAAAGGCATCTTGACAAAAGAAGATGCAGAGCTGGCAGTGAGACATGGAGTTCAGGGGATTATTGTGTCCAATCATGGTGGAAGGCAACTGGATGGAGGACCTGCCACTGTAAGTGAGGAAACAGATGTCCCTGCTTTTATGTCACCAGTTTTTATTGTGTCACATTTGCTGTAAGCTGGGTGTCTCTACACTCATCTTTGCACGTTCCCCTGGGGGACTTGTGTGGTGGCTGCGTGGCTGTGGATGTGTGCAGAGGTACTTTAGGTTTAAACCCATACCCTGGCATGGGCAACCTCTTGAAGTATTTTCTCAGCTTCTTGGGAGAGTTCTGTAGGCAGCACTTAACCCACATGCCTGCTGACAGACTACTGGCCTAAATTAGAAAAGGTTTTCTGCCTGTGTCTTCACGAGCTGGTGCAGTGCACATGTATTCCTTGTGCACTGCAGCAAAACCAAAACGAAACTCTGGAACCAAAAATGTACAAATGAGAGCAGAATGTACTTCCATTGTTCACATCTGCCAAAACATGCACAAACAATGCAACTAGATTTAGTGAGAGGTCTGCTTGTGTACTTACAGCCTTGAGCCTAAATGGAAATTTATTGACATTCATGAGCCAGAAAAAAAAGAATAACTTATCTGGGGGGAAAATCCCCAGCTTTTTAATCTATACAAAGAAATTATGGATTGTTTGGACATGTGTGTTTTTCACTGGTTTAATTTTGCTTCTGTCAGTTTTTCTAGTTGTTCTTATTATACAGTTCTGTATTGCATAGTATTTCACAGACTTTCTTTTCTCTGTTTTCCTTTGTAAAATAAAAATAGGTACCAGGGATTTCTGTTCTTTGCCATGTCAAGGCTGACAATAATGAATAATGATTTTTTTAAAAATCTAAATGCTGAGGACGTAACTATGGAAATGACATCCACATTAAACTGCTCCTCCACCTTAAAAGTTTCTTTACATACACACACAAAGCAGTAGATGTCTAGTTCAGCTCTGCTGCTTGTCTGGTTCCAAGCCTGGCAGCAGAAGCTATTGTACCTGAACTAGGTGAGGAAAATGCCAGCCTTAAAGTCTTCAGTCTGAAATTCTGAAAAAAATTTATGACCCATTGGAAAAATCTGCTTAGTAATCTTAGTTATAGCTGCTCTACTTAATAAAGATGAAAATAAGGCAAAAGACTATAAGAAACTGGAGAGCTACTTAGGTCTAATGCAGTGTTCTGCCACTGGCTATATGCTGCTTTTGGGACCAGAGCCAGCATCACTGCCTGGCACTGCCCTGCACTGCCTGGCACTGCTGTGCTTCACAGAACAGACCTTAGGGAACCAGGAGACTTAGCCTGGAGGAAAAGATACATTGACTGTACTAGATAGCAAATTAAATCCTTCAGAGATGCTTTAGGGTGTATGAGGAGACTTTTGGCAGGTGGTCACCAGGATTAGGTTGAAATGTAAGTTTAGGCAATATGGACAGCAGCAGGGAGAAGTTTGACATCAGCCTTTTTACAAACACTTGTATCATTCATATAAAATGATGGAATGGTTTCGGTTGGAAGGGACCTTAAAGATCATCTAGTTCCAACCCCCCTGCCTAAGCAGAGACACCTCCTACTGGATCAGGTTGCTCAGAGCCCCATCCAACCTGGCCTTGAACACTTCCAGGGTTGGGGCAGCCACAACTTCTCTGGGGAGCCTGTGCCACTGTCTAACCACCCTCACACTGAAGAATTTCCTCCTAATGTCTCATCTAAATCTCCCCTCTTCCAGTTTCCATCCATTACCCCTTATTGTCTCTCTACAAAACCTTGTAAAAAGCCTCTCCCCAGCTTTCCTGTAGCCTCTTCAGGTACTGGAAGGCTGCTAGGAGGTCTCCCTGGAGCCTTCTCTTCTCCAGGCTGAACAGCCCCATCTCTCTCAGCCTGTCTTCATGGGAGATGTGCTCCAGCCCTCTGATCATCTTCATGGCCCCTTCCAGGAGCTCCATGTCCTTCTTGTGTTGGGGGCTCCAGAACTGGACACGGTACTGGGATCCACCTGGCTGGAGAGCAAACCTGTGGAAAGAGACCTTCACCTGAGTGAACAGTGTGCTGCAGAGGCAAAGAAAGCCATCAGGATGCTGGGCTGCATCAACAAGGGCATCACCAGCAGAGATAAAGAGGTCATCATCCTACTTGGCGCTTGTTAGATCCCACCTGCAGTATTGCATTTAGTTTTGATCTCCACTCTACAAAAAGGATGAGGGTCCAGAGAAGGGCCACAAGGATGATCAGAAGACTAGAGGACCTGCCATATGAAGAGAGGCTGAGAAAACGGAGTTTGTTCAGCCTTGAGGAGATGAAACTTAGGAGAGACTTGATTACCATGTTCCAGTACTTAAAGGGTGGCTGCAAAGGAGTTGGAGATTCCCTATTCACAAGGAATCACACGAAAAAGACATGGGGCAATGGGCACAAGTTGCTCCTGGGGAGATTCCATTTGGACATAAGAGGTAAATGATTCACCATGAGGACAGTCAAAGTTTGGAATAGTCTACAAAGGGAAGTGGTAGAATCCCCCACACTGGACAGTTTTAAGTCTCAGCTTGACAGGGTGCTGAGCCATCTCATAAACTGTAGTAGTACCTGAAGAGGTTGGACCAGACAATCCTCGAGGTCCCTTCCAATCTGGCATTCAATGATTCTACGAAACTTCAGGTAGGGTCTCACGAGAGCCGAGTAGAGAGGGAGAATCACCTGAAAGTAAGATGGAGCTAATGACAACTGGCTCAATTGAAATTTACTTTAAAATCTTTCAGAAAGCAAGTGAAAATGTTATTTTTTCACTTATCAGAAGTGCTAGCAAAGAATATATGCAAAGTACTTCAAAATGGAATGAGCTTTTGAGAAGGTGTGTTACTAAAGTACTGTGTGGCTGTCTCTTTGGAGTACCTCCACTTTCTCTTGGAATGAAAATTTGAGCTCAAGGTGACAGAGACTATTTCTTTGCAGATTGATGCCCTGGTTGAGGTTGTGGAGGCAGTGCAAGGCAGAGTTGAAGTTTATTTAGATGGTGGAATACGAAAAGGAAGTGACATATTGAAAGCATTGGCACTGGGAGCAAAATGTGTCTTTATTGGAAGACCAGCTTTATGGGGTCTGGCTTACAAGGTGAGTAAGGAGTTTGGAGTTCCTAGGTCTGCTTCTCATACTCTCCCAACACTCTGTTGTTCTTTAAAAGTCACAGAGACGTTTTGCACCAGTGAAGAATTTTACCCATTTCTTCTTTGTTTTGCTGAATTTTAAGTGGAAAAACACCAAATTGAATCAAAACCAGACCTTTTCTGTGTTTTAAAAACACCACTGAATTTTACTATTTCAAATACTATTGTGAAGTTAATAACATGGTTTTGTGGGGACTGATTTCTTGTTGTTGCAGTTTGGTGCTGAAATAGTGTAGGAGTCAGGACCGTCAGAACTTTTGAAAATCAGTGGTGGACTTATTTGTCTTAAAGATGAGCCTGACAATTTTATTTACTGTCAGCTTTACTTGGAAACAATACATGGTTTTGATACAGCCTTTTCATAGGCATGCTCTCAATTCTCCAGAAACACAAACAGAACTCTGTGCCACTGATGTCTGAAACATTTTCGACAAGCCTGAGTAGAACCATAACCTGTTGGTGCCTGAGCATGGCACCCCTATGTCATCTTCAGCTTTGCTGCTTCTTAACTGCTAGCATATTTCTATGATCCCAAGTCATGAATTAGGCCCTTGATGCAGCAGGTTAACATGAATTTAAATTAAATTTTAGTTATTTAGTTGTTTAGTTTTTTGGGGTTTTTTTTAACCTTTTAGCCTCTGGATTGGTGCTTTCAAGCTTTTCAGTAGAAGAAAAAACATTTACTTTTACTGTCTAGAAGTATTTTCCTGACTTTTAAATAAGATTCCTCTCCAGTGGTGTCATTGCTGTGGATTCCAGCAGCTAGGCTTTAAGCAAGAAAGCACCTCAATCTTGTGACAAACCTGGAAGTGTTGGCAGCACTGTTTCTGTTGCCAGAGAAGGGCCTAACATGAAAAGGGTGTTGCTGTGCCTTGCCTGCATTTTTTTCCACAATGCAAGCAGAAAGGAGATGGGATTTTTTGGAGTTCAGCTGTGCTTTGGTATTACATTCCATCCCTAATGATGCATCTCAGGGGCATTGCCCTAGTATACAGAAGGGGAAGGGTGTGAACCAGCACTGACATTGTCTGCACCCAGAGCATTCTTCATTGCAAGAAATAAAAAACCAAAAATTAAGAGAAACAAAGAAAAAATCCTCTGATATTTTACAGCGAGATCCAAATTGTATGTACATGTTATTGGATTTTGAGTTTCAGAGGAAAATACAGAGTGTACTATTTTTAAAGACTCAGTCCGGTGTCTGAGTAAAATAAAGTTTTTAAAGCTGTACCATATATAAAGCTTGAATTACTTCATAAAATACTGTCAGCTTTGTAAGGCTTGACATTTTAAAATAAGCCCATTGGTGGAGGTTTACTGAAAGCTAAGAAAAAAACCTATCAGCTGGAAAATGTCAGAAGTGAAAAACAGCTTTGTTTTCTTTCCCTGCTCAGACGCATCACAAAAGGAAAAGCATCTAAATTAATCTGCGATGATCTGAGCACATCCATTATATCGTTTTAATCATTCATCTGCGTGAGAGACTGGAATTGGCACAGGCTGAAGGGACTGTCCCAGCTCTCACAGTGCAAGCATCTGGCAGCACTGCTCAGTGCCAGGGCTCCTTTCACCCTGCCTGCTTTCTTTGTTGGAGCAGGGTGAAGAAGGGCTGCAAGACGTCTTGAGGATTTTGCAGGAGGAGTTCCGCTTGTCCATGGCCTTAGCTGGTAAGTGGGGTTCTTTGCAGGTTGTTTCTAAACAGTGATACAGAAGTTTTGCAAGCCATCTAAAACCAGAAGCCTGGTGGACGGGTCACAGAAAGGGAATCCACGTGAGCTGTGCTGGTTCTAGTCACTACATTTAAGGGGATTCTTTGCTTCCTGTGAAACCATTTGGCTTTTCAGGTGCCATAGCAATGAGGCTTGCAAGGACATTAGAGCAGCTTTCTGACCCAATCAAAGAGATGCAAACCTGCTAAATAGAGCTCCACCAAACTTGGAATTTCTTCTGGGAACTGCATGTTTTACAGTATTTAACCTAATGATTACCAGGGTAAATGGCAACCAATTTTTTTTCTGTACAAAAAGTTCAGAAAGAACGGATGCAGAATTTTTCATTGGCGGTGCAGGTTCAAATCTCTGCCTTACACATGCTTTTAAAGCCTTTGTGTTTCCTTCAAGCTTTTATTATTGTTCCCTTTTCTGTGTTTCTCACTTCTGCTCCTACCTCTAGCTGACATGTTTGACTCACTTCACTGAACAGTAAACTTTGCACAGCCCAGCACAAACTCCAGTTTCACACACGAACAAGTACAACGTGCTGGTCCAGTGCAAAATATTCAGCCATCAACAAAGGGTCCTATCACACTTCAAATCATGTTTGAAAGATTTTCATGCTCTAGCAACCATGAACTCAAGTGGATAGCAATGCTGACTGGGAGACTGGAACTGAAACCTGTTGGGTATTTCTCAGTAGCCTGGGGGTTTTGGGGGTTACTTTTTCAACTAGTAAAGATTCCTACAAGGTTTATTTTTCCAGGAGGCTCTCACACTTCTTTACATGCAAACAGGCACTGAACTCAGCATGAGTAGCAGGTTGGCACTTTTTGGCAGAGCTGTGAAATTCCACCCAGATTTGACCAAATGAACCAGCAAATCACCTTAGTCACTCAACATGAATCAATCCCTGTCAATCCCCATCAATTTTCTGTCTGCCTTTGTCTTCTGGCTCCACCCTTGGGCTCCCTGCTCAACTTGTTATAATGCTGACTGGGAGACTGGAACTGAAACCTGTTGGGTATTTCTCAGTAGCCTGGGGGTTTTGGGGGTTACTTTTTCAACTAGTAAAGATTCCTACAAGGTTTATTTTTCCAGGAGGCTCTCACACTTCTTTACATGCAAACAGGCACTGAACTCAGCATGAGTAGCAGGTTGGCACTTTTTGGCAGAGCTGTGAAATTCCACCCAGATTTGACCAAATGAACCAGCAAATCACCTTAGTCACTCAACATGAATCAATCCCTGTCAATCCCCATCAATTTTCTGTCTGCCTTTGTCTTCTGGCTCCACCCTTGGGCTCCCTGCTCAACTTGTTATAAGGATCCTTTTTTTTTTTTTTTTTTTTTTTTTTTTTCTGACATCTAACTCTTCTTGTGTGGGAAGCCTGGTGCCTAATCTCACTGCTGAAGATGCCATTGATGAGTAGGGCTTCTGTGAGTGACCTGTTGAAGTCCCCACATGGCTCAGACAATGCTAGACCATGACTCAGACAAAGAACCTTCCAAGTTTAACCCATAGACCTTCCTTTCTCACCAACATGTTTCATTTCTCTATTTATTTCAGGCTGTGCCAGTGTCTCAGAGATTGGCCCACACCTGGTTCGGTTCTCAAAGCTGTGAACAGCCTCCTGCAATGCCCACCCAAGAAAGGCAGCTCACCCTGCTGAGGTCCCAAACCAGACTGAAGACAGAAAAAAGGAAGTGCAAACACTGAATGTGAATAAGTGCCTGTTAAGGCCTTCAGGAAACTCCTGAGATTAGGCAAAGGCCGTGCTCTGCTCTTATTGAGACCAATGAGTTCTTTAACACTTTGGGTGACTGTTACTTGCTTAAATACATTTACTTTAGACTGGCTGTCCCCTGGCATTACCTGTTTTGGGCCTTACTCCCAAGCTCTGTTACATTGGCAGCCACACATGGAAAGCTATGTCCCTTGCTTCTTCTACTTGCTTGTTCTACTAAGGCTGATGGCAGCTCTAGCCACACACCTTTCCTGCCCCAGAGGCATTAAGTGTTGTGGCAGATACCTTCCACAGCTTAGGCTTTCCTGGATGTATTCACAGAAGATACAGGAACATGGTGCACCAGCTTAAGAGACCCCCCCCAGCTACCCTCTATGGATGTGTGTGTGTCTTGTTAACTGCTTCTAAATGCAGACAAATTAAATCCCTGGTAACCAAAGCAACACCCTGTGCTCCCCAAAAAGAGTACCCCTTCCTTCACCACATGGTTCATTTGCACTGCAAACTCATCCAAGCAGCAGTCAGGACCTACACATTTTTCTGAGCACAGGGCAAGTTTGTGGCAATGCATAAATAACTCACCAGGTGCCCTGGTCTCTGCCCACACACGAGTGTGGCCACCCAAGCAGCACGTGGCCTTTGCTCTCAGAAGATAGTACAACAGAGGCAGGGAGCCAGCTGTGTGCCTGCTGCCAGCATAGAGCAGCAAAACCCTTGTCCTCCAAGGGAATAGAAATGTGTGGTCATCCCTTCCTTATCCAAGTTTCTTCCTGAGACATTGGTCTTGCCTCCCCATGAGGAAGCACATGCTCTTGACTGAGCCATCCACCTGCTATCACCTTGTGGTGATGGGTAATTAAGAACAATTAGCTCACTTTTTCTCCCTTCCCTTCCCGTTCTTTTTCACCTGGATGGTTCCTTTCCTGTAGCACTCCTTAGAGCACAATCTTCAGCTACACCATTCAGCTGCCACCACTATTACTACTCTTCCTATCTCATTCCATCTCCTTTCATCATCTCTCTGTCCCACATCATCTCCCTCCTCCCCAGCCTGCTGCTGCCCAGAGCTGAGGGAGCTGCTGGGGGGTGGAGGTGAGGCTGAGTGGGGGCACACAGGGTCCTGCAGCCAGAGCAGAAGTTTGTTCATGTTGGGAGCTGATGTCCCTTGGGGTTTGTCTGTGTCAATAGGCTGCAGCGTGAGTATTTACTGTGAACTGTTCTCCCTAGGAGGAGTTCAACAATATTTGTTTCTTAATCCTTTATGTAATGCTATCCAAGTAAAGGTATAAACAGAATTCATCTATTTAAAATAGCTAAAACCTCTGTGTGCGTATTTGGTCTTTGTTACAAATGTGGTGGGTAAATCAGTGGGGAATTGGGCCAGGGTAACTGGAAATAAGCTCTATCTCCATAAAGAGTTTAACTGATTCAGCTACCTGAGCTTAATCAGGTCTTTTAAATGAGACTAGGTAAACCTGGATGACACACCTGTGAAAACTGCTAATGTGCCTCATCTTTAAAAATGCAATATCATCTTAAAAATAATAGGTAAGACACCTGACCTTGTTTTCTCATAAATAATTTTTAAGGCCAGACTCATTGCTGCAGTCACTGTGTTTATGTCACTTCAGGGCAGCTGAAAATGGCTGAAGGCTGCTGGGCAGCAATGGGATGACAAACTTGGTTTGTGCCAAAGAAGAGCCTATTTGCTGGTCACCTCCTCTACTTTGTGCACCTCCCCATCTTACCATGCACACAAGGCTCCCTTTTGTGTACAGCTGCAGCTGTTTTCTTCTGTCTCCTCTCTGCTAATCTCCTGGTTCTGCAAGAATGGGCAGGGCTGGGTCATGCAAAGCAAGGCTGAGCTGGAGAGAAGACATCTGAATCCAGAACTGCTGCCCAAGGCTCTCTCATTCAGGTGGTGTCTCACCCAGCAGGATCCAAAAGTACTGACATGCTCTCCCCCTGCCCTTTTGTTTGGCATCAATGTAAGAATTCAAGGTGGTTCGACTTCTCTGGTCAAGGCTCTCCCCTGGCAGAAAACAGGTGCTGCTTTTTCTGAGGAGAAGGCTGAGCAGGTTGTCCACTGGCACCTGGTGTACAAAGGAAAGAGCAGCTGTAGCAGCACCTCCTTTTCACATATCTCAGAAGAAGCAAATGAGGCTCATTAGGTCCTAAACTTGCTAGAAGAAAGGCTTCCAGCTTATGCAAATAGCTGCAGGCACCTGCAGGTCAGACCTGAGTCATCTCACCAAGCTCTGGACAGGAACAGGATTTCCAGCATGCTGCCTCTGATACCTCTCAGCAACTTCCCACTGAGCATTTGGATTTTTTGAGATCTGTTTCTGGATGCTTTAGAAGAACCAGACATCAGGCTTTAGGAGCAGTGCAAAAGGAAAGAGGAAAAAGATCACAACAGGTGAGTTGTTGCCAGAGAACTTGAGGCAGTGAAGCATTTCATGGCTCAGGACCTTAAAGCTTTTCCATGGGACAGTCAGCTGCTTCTGTTGCCACAAGCAGGCAGGGAGATTGAGCAGGTGCCTGAATGCAGCTCTTGTCTCCTGCAGCTGATGCTGTGAAATGGGAAAGTAGATGGTGATCAGCTGGGACAATTCCACTTCACTTCTGTTTCCATGAAAACTAAGTCCTCTCTCTCCCTGGTTGATAATCATCAAGGCTCCTTATACTACACTCCCATTCAAGTGGAATTCAAGAAATCCCCTTCAATAGCAGAAATCCAGGTATTGAAAATCATCCGTTTCTCACCTGCATTTCTCTCAGGTACTTTTCACTTGCAGTCAGATTCTTTCAACGCTCCATGCATGGTACAGTTGAGCTATTCATGCCTCTCCTCACAGCAGCCTGTGCTCCTTAGACCAGATGTATTTATTGCTCAAGGTTGCTCTGCTGAGGCAGAAAAAAAATATCTTATTTCAGACTCCATAGTTCCAGCTTTCAGTTAAAGCCAGCAAAACAAGATGCTGGAGAGAATGTCATGGTTATAATTGTGAAGGAAATCTTTCAAGGAGGAAAGCAATTTTAAGAAACTCAGAGACATCTGCTGGAGCAGAAATAATTGAGGTGGAAATTGTCTGCGCTGCTGAGCTGACTTGTGGTGGCTTCATTTACACCTGTGTTGAGTAACATGACATTGAAATCTGGTTTGAAGGAAAGGCAATGCCACATCATAAAAATAAATATGTTTATTTTGTGATTTGGGAAGAAACAGCTTCAATCATCTTCTCTGTTTTTCCTGTGGCACTGAAGCTGGGGGATGGAGGATAGGAAGTCAGATGGAGCTGATGAGACATATGAAACCCACCAAAGGGCAGCCAGACAAATTGCAGCCTTTGATCATGCTGCTCTATAGGTTTGTTGTATAAGACAACACAAACATCTTCAGCCAGGAATGTCTGCAGAGGCCACTAATTTGCAAGTCCTGTATGTGGATGTCTAGAGCAATACACCTGGAGCCAGATTTGAAGAGACGTGGAGGAGAGATGAAGGTCAGTAGGTGCCCAGGACTGCAGGCATTTGGAACATCACACAGCTGAAATAGCTTGTTCTGGTTTTCTATCTGATTTTTCCAAACTATAGAATGATCTAAAACATCCTCTTAGCCTCTTTGGCCCTTCCAGATTAACATGTTTTACAGAACTGAGGAAATGCCCATATACTTGGATTGTTCTGCCACTGCTCGGGGGCTCGTGGGGAAATAGAAGGGGAGTCTGAATTTAAAGCTCCCTATGGTGCTCAAGAGGTAAAACTAAGATTGCACTACTCTTCACCTCTGGCATTTCCAAACTTTCAAATGTTTCACCTGTCAATAGAAATAGACTTAATTAGATTTTTTTCCCTATAGTCTGCAGAAGGCTTTATACCAACAGAATAAACTGGATCCATAATTATTTTGCTTGATATTGCATACCAATAAAATATAGCACAACTCATATTTGTTTCAAATGAACACAAGTTGTGCAACCAGTGAACAAAATATAGAGAGCTAATCCAGTGCCAGACCCTCTAACATCGTGCTGCTTCATCATTGTGCAGCTCTCTTGTTGGAGATACCAAGGAGACTCTAGGTCTGTGTGTGTTCTGTCCTCTGCTTTCCTGTCTCCTTCAGGTCCAAGGGGATCTGAGGAGGCAGAAGAAGCAGCCCTGTTAGTTCTCTTTGTTTAGACCCAAATTTCTTGCAGAGATAACAGTGTCTGCAGTGATTTCCAGAGGCCTTCACATGGAGGTCTTCCTCTCTGTTCCAGTAATAATAAACCCTGCTGGCAGACTGACAGCCCAGCAGATAAGACTGAGGAATAATAGCACATTGCACACTTTGATGGACTTCAAGGATATGCAAGAAGAAACTGGGTGTGCTCAGTCCTGAGAAGGCTAAAGGTAGGTAGAGAGGGGACCCCACATCCCTTTACTGCTCGGAGGGAACAGAGAACATGCTGCTCCACTTCTCAGATATGTGCATTTAAAGGGTGAAAGGCAATGGGCACAATTTATAATGAAGAAAATTCCAGTTATAAACTAGAGGGGAAAAATGCACCATGAGGGTGGTCAGGCACTGGAACACAGGGTTTGTGAAATCCCATCCTTGGAGATGGGCAAGGTTCTGTGCAACCTTGTCTAGTCTGATGCTGCTTTGAAAAGAGGTTGGGTCAGAGACCTCCAGAGGTTCCCTTCAATAAATTGTTGGAAGACATCACAGATCCATGACATAGGAGCCACACATCAGATCTATACCCTGCCATATCAGCATATTACCATGATCAACTGCCATGGAGCTGCAGAGGCAGAACTAATACCTCTGTGAAAGAGGCTGCAGAAAGCATTTTCTCAGGAGAAAGGGAAGTTATTTGGTGAGTGAGCTTAAAATAAGAGTTCATGGGTTTTGACCAGACTGACAGTCTGTGGAACAAGCCCATCCTACAACTTTTCAGAGACTTTGGAGGTTTTTTATGGCCTGGATTAAGCCTGTGCCAATGCATACCAGAGTCTCTTGCCCCCTTTTCTACACTCTGTCCTGCTTTCTGTGTTTGATTGCAGTGAATATCTCTCATGCAAATTCAAGCAAGGTCAAATCTTTTTTTAAAAAACTGTGTCTGCAGAGATTGTAAACATGCAGGTTAAGGACTAATCAAACCCTGCTGCCTCCCAACATCCCTGGAGGATGTGGTAGGGATGGGGAATCACTCTATTTACAAGGGTAGTTTATCTACAAAATGGTTCCCAATTTAAATATTTTCCTTTGACACATGGTGCAGATTTCTATAGCCTTTAAACATATACTTTCCTCATCCATTTCAATGGAGGAAATGCAGTTCTGCCTAAAACTAAAGGCAAAATGAGACTAAATGTGTTTTCAGTTAATTGCCCAACTCATGTGCTGTCTAGTATAGAAAAGTTTACTTCAAGCAAGCCTTTCTGATCTTGAAGATCATGTAATAAAAGTTTACAATCACTTTCTTGCTTCTACCAGAATAATTTTGGTACTACTGAAACAGGAGATATTTTCTGTGTCAGGTTTGTATACACAAAAACATGGAGGCCTCTTAGGGTGGTTATCTTCATACCTTGGTTGAAGAGTCTTATAATTTGATTCAGTACAGCTGCCCAAAAGTTAATCATTTAAATCTTGTTACCTCTTGTCAATGAGCAACCAGAAGGGAGAGGAAAATGCATCCAGGAGGGAACAGTGCCTCCCACTCTAAAGGTGAAATGTTTCCTTTGAGTAAATCTAGATCTCACAGTACACTTTATTTTCCAGAGCAGCCAGAATCTAAGCATTTTGCATGTCATGGTAAGAAAACTCTACATTTTTCACATGAGAAGCACATGAATTTTTGTGGCTTTTTGGTCACAATTAGCCTACATTTAGAAAGCAAAAGATCCAGCTTAATACCGAGCATGCCTTCACTTTTCCCTGCCTCAGTTCTCATCAGTCTGGACAACAGGGCGGACTCCGGAAACACCTTTCCTAAACAAGACTCTTTTTCTTGACAAAAGGGATCTGTCCTTCTCTATTTACTCCTGGAAAGCTGCTTTTGCATGTTTGCACAATTAAACAATATTGCCCTTTGTAAAAGTGTAATATTTTATCCTACCTAAAACTTCTGTGCTATGCAATTTTAGCGCATTTATTTATTCCAGTACCAGGATTCTGTTTGTTCTCAGTTTTCCCTTCACTATTTCTCTCCCACTGTCTTCTCATCTCCACTACACCACCCCTACCCCCAATCACTTTTCTTCCTTTTGGCAAGACCAAGAAAATGTGTCATCCTGACACCAGCCATCCATCACCCAGAAGTATCTCTGCCACCAGTAAGCACCAATAAAGCCAGAGGATCAACACTCTTCCTGGACCAGCAGATTAGGAACATGGTAATGGGAGATAGTGGATCACACATGTATGAAGATATGCACTTAGTCCATGTATAGCAATTCTCCAGCACAAGCCAAAGTTGACAAGCTCTAATTTTCTAAAAGGATATTGAGACATGCAGCTCATTCTACCATTCCCCTCTGTGTCCATCAGCAAAATTGCAAAGACTGTGAAGGCCTCGTTTTATGATAAAGTCAATGAGAAGACAACAACATTGTTTTAAAATTACTATGCCTTGACATAGAAATTGGAAGCAGTAACTTCTTAGATGCTGCTGACTTATGTTTTTAGTCTGCAGATCCCAGACCCATGCAATAGCTTTGAATTTCTTCAAGTTCTTCCCTATGGTCAGGAGTCTGGTGTCCTCTGGCCTCATTGCTCATTGACACTGTTCTGAGACCTACAGACCATTCCAGCATCTGCCTCGGTGTCCTTCAGGGAACATCAGCTTCAGCCTTTCTTGCAGCCCAGAGGAGCTGCTGTGCCACCCAGCAAACCCCCACAGCAGTGTCAAGAAGAAACAGAGGGTGAAAATGTTGTCTCTAGCTGAGACCACAGGAAGCACCAGCACTTGAACTGAGCAAAATACTGCTGTCCAATCCCTGACATCCACAAGCAGTTGTTCAAATCAAGGCTGCTCTAGAGCAAAGTAGAAAATTCCCTCAAACTATGCCAAGCATTTGGCCCAGTTAGTACCTAAGATGACAAAGCATGGCAGCAGTAAATCTTTCTACAGTCCTCCGTGTAGCGTTTATATTCTCGTATAAAGCTGTTTTCTGTCCTCAGAGGTGATGTCGTGTTGCCTGTTTTTATAATGCCTCCTTAAGGCAGATTATTTCCTTCCTAATAGTGAAAAGGAAGCACTGTTTCAGAGAACACCAGTTGCAGCAGCAGGCTTGGGTCAGTTACTTTTCCTTGCAAAACACATGGATCGCACAAAATTAATTTGCAGCAGCTTCTGATAAGAACATACAGCGTCAAGGTCCTGTCTGGGAGAAGTCAAGGGAAGAAGAACTGATAAAATGTTTTTGAAAGCTTTGTTGGGGTAAGGGAATGATTATGAAGGACATTGTGATTAAAACGGTTGCCAAAGCTTTGTCATCAACTGTGTCAGCTAGAAAGTATTTTCTCCTTGAACAGAGATGGTTTTGCTTTTCCTGCTGTCACTTACAGGCCCAGTTCTGCTCTAAAAAAGTAGCAATGTGAGGGTGCTGTTCCCATAGATGTTCTCCAGGGCTCTCTTTAATGAGTGAGCAAAATTAATAACCACAGAATAAAAAAGGGAGTTTCAGAGTCAGTCACGTGAATGTAAGTAAAACATTTTTAGAGATCCGTTCTAGCTCTGCCTGAAATTAGTGATTCCCTTTCCAGTGATTTCAGCCTAATTAGTTGTGTTGCTGGGCTTCTTTGTAATGTCCCATAGTAGCACACCTCACTGAAGGTGGCTGCCTATTCAATGTCTTGCTTCAGAAAGGAAGTCTGCCCTGTCCTTGCCTGAGAGAGAGAGAAATCCAGCTCCAGTCAGCGTATCAGCACAGAAAGACCTGTGAAGGCAGGGCAGGTATTACCAGTTTCAAAGTCCTGCCTTGGGCTCATGCTATAAAAATATTTTGCTAGAACTGGAGTGAAAATCTAGGGGGAGATACCTGGGCATTTCCCCTGTATTTTGGAGATGTAAAAAGTAATGACACAGTTTGCTGCAAAGGCACAAACACAGCCTTGTTTTAACTAGGTCCTCTCACACTAGGCATTTCACGGGTGAATCTTTTTCTCCAGCAGCTTTAATATAACCAGTCTGTAAATTAAGCCATTTCACCACTTCAAATGCCTCGAGGATATGGAACAAATTCAAAATCCCAGATGTTAGTTTTCAGTCTCACACAGAGAGGAGTGAGAAATCCATACTACAGTGGAGCTGAATGCTAAAAAAAAAATAAAAATACAGCAGTAGAGTCTACCCCTCAAACAGTTATGAAAAGCTACCCCTGCTGCTTACATTTAATTTTAATGCTCTCTCCCTTCATATTACCACTGCACCTCACAGGCAAGCACAGCTATGGATAACTGCCAGCATGAGGGCTTGCTCTCAGAGGATTTAGGCATGCAGGACCTCGTCTAGGCAGGCACTCAGACCTTGCTGCATCCACAGCCTTCATCTTTGAGAGGGGAGGGGTGGAAGCACCACTTTCCTTTGCAGCAAAGGAGGCACGTGAGAGGGAGGGAAAGCAAGATGACAGAGGTGGTATATAAATACAGGCAAATCTCTCCCACAGTCTTTTGAGTGCTGGAGAGGTGGAACCAAGGATTGAGGCAGACTTTTTTGGGGTTCGTTTAGCATTGAAGTTGACTCAAACCATTTTCAGATTTTATCATTTCTTTGATCTGTAATAGTTTGTAAATAGCTTATCTTTGCATGGAAACATTGTGTAGGCTACTGATGAATAGGAATAGTTAGCAAAAGACATGCTTTAAAAATTATTTAAGATCGGGGTCAGAGTTTGTTTTTCAGTAGTGTCTCCTTCTGGTAGCACCCTTTGATTTGTAAAGACTCCAGAAGCTGATGTTGTGTGTTCATTTCCTCAGGCAGGAGGGGAACCGGCCCATCTAATCTCCAGGGAAAGCCAGGCTGCCACTCAGGAGCAAACCCAAGCAATGTCACTGGCTGGGGTAAGCTGTCTGGTGACAGGTGCTGGAGGGTTTCTGGGCCAGAGGATTGTCTGTTTGCTCTTGGAGGAAGAGGAGGCCCTGGCTGAGCTCCGACTGCTGGACAAAGCCTTTAGCAATGAAGCACTCAGGAGATTTGGAAGTAAGTACCATCTTGTGAAGACTATGTGTTGTGTGTATATGTGCTGTTGTCATGGGTGGATAGCACAGAAGTCTTTACCTCCCACCCAAAACAAGCTTTACAGATAGAGGTTTTATTACCAGGAAGTCTTGCTTTAGCTCTCCCTCTCCCTCCAGCACAGAAATCAGATGTTACATGTAAAAGCAAGAGGTTGTTTTGCCAGTTTTCTTGTGCTGAGGCTTCTCTACGTGGAAAGAGAGACGTATGGACTGTTAATGCAGCAAGTAGGTTGACTTCAACCTGACTTCTATGACATTAAAACCCACAGAGCAAAATTAGTGCAAAAATCTCATGCTTCTGTTGGGAGGAAGGGAAATGCAACCCTTGCTGTACCGGGGGTGCAGGGCAGCATAACCCAGAGCATACTGTGCTGGGCTCCGATGGGAAGGACTGGAAGGCAGTGGCAAAGCTGTGGGAGCAGGACCTAATAGTGGGTTGTTGTTTCTTTTAACCTGTGATTAGTTTGGTTAACCTGTGATCTGCTGGCTGAGAGTTGTGATGAGGTATCCTAGAAATTTGTTGTTGTTGGTTATTAATGCAGTCATGTGGAGAGCAGAACACTTTGTGCTATGCACAGAGGAGACGGGACCTGTTTGAAAGGGGCAAGTCAGGACTCAGGCTTCCTGAGCAGACTGGAGACAGCACAAATGAATGAGGTGGCCAGTGTCTGAAACAGCCTGTGGCAGGGAAAGCAGCTCAGACTATTGCATCTTAAATGTTCCATTTACTGGGACTCTGAGCATGCCTATAGAATGGCATATAGGAACCTAATTCAACTAAGTCCCTACATCACACTTACTTGACAGTCCTTTCCTCCATCACATCTTAATCTCAAGATGATTCTTCCTCTATACAGGCAACTACATGGGAACCCTTATGGAAAATCCCCCTAAGATTTGCCAAAGTGCCACAATCTTTCTATAAAGTGTTTAAGTGTTACCAAAGAAAAGTAATAGTGCACCATAAACCTGGTGCAAATTGCACCAGCCTTCAGGATGGTTTTACACATCTCAGACTTCTTCCTCGTTAAATCTCACTCGGTGTTTCACTGAGGATTTGCCAGATGCCCTTCAGCCTTGTTGCAGCAGCCCTTCCTGCTCTGGTTTCCAGGCAGTTCCCCCGGTGACAAAACCTGCAGCTGCCGTGAGCTGAGGCACTTGCAGCAGGAGCCTGTGTGGTTCAGCACTGATGCAACAGGGCAGCCACAGGGGCATCTGCAAGGCTTCGGGCCAGGAGAGCTTTGTGGAGGTAATGGAGCTTCCTGGGGAGTGAAAACAACTGTTTGTGTGAGCACAGTCTTGTCTGGGCTGCAGCAAAGGTTTCCCTATTCCTTTTTTATTAATAGGAAAGCACTAGGACTTTTTTCCCTATCTCCCCTCCTTCCTCTACTGAATGCTGCCCAGACACTCCCTCTCCTATTCTTGCAAGATTCCTGCAGCCTGACCAGCACAGGAGGAAGGGAAAAATCAATTATCAGAGCTTTTTTTCCCTGGCAAACAGGTATTGGGAACAACAGGCTGGCATTTCAGCAGTTTGAACTGCCTTGAGCCCTGCATTTTAACTGGCAGTCCCTCTGCACCAGCCTCTGTACCTACACCTCTTCAAACGTCCTGCCAGTGCTTGTGCTCGGGACAACCTGAAATATTTCCTTGCCTTTCAAGCTCTTCTCTAGCACAGTGAGTCCTATTCCAAAGGCAAGGCTGCTGCAAAACCGGGGGAGGAGCTGGAGTCTTCTGACCTGCACTGTTTCTACTGCAGGGATTTTTACTTGCTGGCACATGTCATTTGGATTTCTTGAATAGCCAGCAGCAGAGCTGAGTGGTTTTCTTTCTCCTGAGCACCTTTTACTTGCAGTATCTTTGCAGAGTCGGGGCTGTAGGTAGTAAGACACAGAAGTTACATCTTGCTGTGCCAGGGGATACTCAGGGACACTCCTTTCTTTGTCCAGGCAAGTTTCCTGGGGAGTCCTCGACCATCGCACTCCATCTGCACAAGACAGTGGCATTTATGGTCTTCCACAGCCCTAGGGAGTCCAGGATGATCCAGTCAATGTCAAGTGTGACCTAGAGTCTCCCCAGTTACAATGTGTGGTTCAGAATGAACATCCCATTGAACACAGTAGTTTGGTGCCTTGGGTTTCCTACCTCCCAACTCCACTTCAAATTTATCTTTCTAATTTTCCTGTGCTTCCACTTATGCAATTATTTCCACACCACAACCCCTCCCTCCCCCTCACCCCCACTACTGCACTGATGCTTCTGGAAAAGCTGGAGACAATAGGTTGTTCTGAAGAGGATTTCTCACTGTTTCAAAGCATTGACTCCCCCTTGTCTCATCCTCTATCCCTCTTCCCTCTCCTCCCCATAACCCTAATTTCTTGTCATTTTTTAGGACAGCCAGTTATAGATTGTGATTGACGCTCGAGCACTGAGGCTCTTTTGCACTATAAAACCAGTTCTGCTCCAAAGTAGAAGAAAAGCAGAGGGAGAAGAAACAGGAATTCTTCCCAGGACTTCTGCTGGGGAAAAGTTTCTACTCTGGGAAACTGCCTCCTGGCTTTTCCTCAGCATTGCAGACATTCATTTGCCTTTATCATTGCATTCAAAACAGAAAGGCAGAGAAGCAACAGAACATCCCAAGAGCTGAAATGGGAACAGAATAAACATCTCAGCTTCCCTGGGCTAAAGAAGCCAATTAATTGCTTTACCCTTTACAAATGAAAATAAGATGCAGTTTTTAATTTTCTCTGATGAATACACAAAGTAGACCATTTTAACGAACCATTCATTTAGCCAGGAAAGTGGATACCTCTCATGAGGAGTGCTCTTCTGCACCATCCACCCCTACAGTTTTTAGGACCTCCATAAAAGAGCACTAAGAAATTCAAACTAAGTCCCACAGACATTGCAGTTTATTTGAAATTTAAACAACACATAGAAAAGAGAAAGACAGTTTAGGTCAAATAGTCTGACTGGATTGCTGAGTCAGACAGTGCTCACTACAGGACATCAAATTTTATTGAGTAATAATTGCATTTCCAAGCAAAAACTACCCTGTAGCATGCAGGGATCATTGCTTACAGCTTAGAGGGTACAGAGACCATTAGTGAAGTAGAAGCAGCATTCCCAGTGGGTAGGTACCTTCTCATAATCACTGTATGCAAAAATGGGGAGCTGAATTGAGTTTATTCTCTTTCTCCCTCTTCCACCTGACATACACATGCTCTTTATTTTGATGCCTGGACAATGGTTTATACAGATGGAAATCTAGTTTTTCTCTGCTGTCCATCTCAGAACTGAAACCACTGTCTGTCATTTCTTCTTTCCTCTGTCTGTTTCCAAGCTCCCGTTTCCCCTTCAATCAGAGTAAAACAAAATCAATCTGTTGGTTCCTGACATCTAGCTGATGCTGGCAAAGTGAACAAGTTGTACTTAGCAGGGCAGCTTCTGCTTAGTGGGATGGAGGAGTGGCTTTCCTGATTTATATCACTCACACAACTTAAATTGCAATCCCAAACAATGCACAAAGCAGCTATACAGCAGCTTTCTAATGGCTGATACCAGCAAGTCTTGTGATCATCTTTAAAAAGGACAGGCTTCTTTTTTATTTTTCCTGAAAGCTTTAATTTGCATGCATTAGAAATTCTATTTTCCTAACTCCTGGCATAGCCACCACTCTGAGAGGGCCACATGTCGGAATTTACAGTGTGAAAATTATGTATTTCAATCCTTTGGATTACTGCAGCCTCACTAAGCATTCTCATGGAGAACATCAACCTAAGACTAATGTATGTTAGAACAAATCTAACTGCCAGGTGCTTAACAAAAAGTGTAGCCCCATAGCCTGATACTTTTGCATCCATACAAGTAGAGGTCAGTGTAAACCTTACGGAAACAGAGTCTCAGGAAATGGGTGAACTCTGTGAAAGAAAGAAGCATAAGAGACCAGTGATTGTGCTGGGAGGGCAGATATACTACAGATATACTAACAGTTTGGTAAACCTTGAGGATTGAGCCTCTGTTTTCACGTCTCGCACCAGCTGATTGTGACGAAAAGAACAGACCCTCAAGCCTGCTGCATCAAAATAATTGTTAAATTAACATGGATTACATTCTAGCATGCTACCAAGATAGTGAGATAAAGCTATTTTAAAAGATACCCCTGCTCCTTTCCAGATCCCAGCAGCTGTCTCTCCACTAAAGATATGGGATGAAACATGGCCTGCTTTGGAACCAGTGACCAAACACCAGGATACATGAGATTTTGGTCATGGCTGAGGCTAAAAGCTGTACAAATTAATTAGGTTCTTCTCCTATCTAAAATGGGCGTTTGATGATGCGGGGGGAAGACAGAGGACCTGCAGAGCCGCTCCCCAGGAGCTGAGCCTGGGGGGCCCCTAGTGCAGCCGCAGCAGAGGCTCCCCAGGGGACCTGCTGTCCTCAGAGCTTCTGAGTCACTCATGCTGAGAAAGTCCTCTCCTCTCCCACAGCACAGCTGCAGCCAGGACAGCAGAATTCCCAGGAGAACAGCATCACCTCTGACTATAATTTTCTCCAGGCGATCACCCTGTGCTGGCTCATTTTTATTTTTATTTTTTTTAATATAGTTCTGGGCTCTATATAAGGATGCTTCTGCCCAGCAAAACTGAGGGGAAAGATGGCTCCGAGGCCTAGGGCTGCACTAGAGCTACACACGTTAGCTGCTGGGGAGGCAGTGGGCTTAAAAACATCAGTGAAAGCAAGTCAAGGCTGAGGCTCCTCAGAACAGCAGCCTTGAGAGTTCAGATTTGGACCAGAAGGATGAGAGTGCTAAAAATGACCCCAACAGCACAGATGGTGAAATGGAGTTAGAAGAGGCACAGTAAGTTCTGTGTAAGATGTGTCAGAACTGTAAGCAATGCATTAGAAGAGCTGCAACATGGGCAAGACCAAGGGGCAGAAAATAGGGGTGAAGACAGCTCTCTGCACACATGGAGAGAGGTCATTCATCACCTTGAAGACAGGGCATGCAGTGCCTGGGTGTTCAGTGTACTTGGTTAACACTTTTATAAATAGTTAGTCACCAGAACGTACATAGCTAAAGCTTCCTCTGTGAACTTTAAAAGTTCCTGAAGGAAATTTCAGGCCCTGGCTAGCAGTGAGAAAGGTTCCTTCTTTTTTTGTTTTTCAATTTTATTTTTTTTTTAAATATCAAAGAAAGAAAAAAAAAAAGAAAATAAGAAGAACCATGCAGGAATGTAGCTTCAAAAATGCAGGTAACGCAACACAGATTCTACACCACGGTAATTAGTACTTGACAGTATAGCCATTGGAAAACGGTTCTGTTTTTCCAGTCTTAAAATATCCTGCTCCCAGGCACAGCATCAGCATATCCACAGCCCTCCGCCACCCCTGTCAGTGCTCTCCTTAGGATGTCTGTGAGGTCTTCTGCTTTGTTTTCTACTGCCCTTGCAGAGTTCCAAGGCAAGACTGAAGTTAAAATCCTGGAAGGGGACATCCGAGATGTGACATTCCTGCACCGTGCCTGTCAGGGGGTCTCCCTTGTCATCCACACAGCTTCCATCATTGACACTTTGGGCCTTGTGGAGAAGCAGCTGCTCTGGGAAGTCAATGTAACAGGTAAACAGGTGAAGCACCTTTCTCAAACTCGTGTCTACTACGTCCTGATCATCATCTGCTCAGGAAAAGGAGCACATGAGGTGTTTTTCTGAGCCAGATTAACTGGGTTGTTGTGCATGTTGCACAGCTACACCTGTGAGTGCAAAGGATGCACACGTGCTGCACTGTGCAGCTCTGGCTCTCTCCACACCCAGCGTGCACCAGCCTTCCACTGCAGGGCACTGCAGGATCATTCATTCTTGTCAGCACTCACATCTGCCCATCCTGAGATCTGCACAGGTTCTTTCTTCCACAGGGATAGACATAATCCCACGCTCAGTGGACCCTTCTGGAAGAAAAATCACCTCTGAAACCCCAATGTGAATCCAAGAAAAACTGATTCTTATTCTCCCTCCCCATGCAGTATCATTGCCTGTGCACAGATTCGAATTTTTACAGACACTATAGGCTTTGGCTGCAATTACAGCAAACTTGCACTGCTAGTGTCTCAGACCCTGTGGCTCTCTCACTCCTGTTCTTTTTCTGTCCCCCTTCTCTTTCTCTTCCCATCTGCCATTATGTCTGTGTGTGCAGGAATG